TATCCCTTTCGTGTTTTTTCTTTAACTAGTCTTGAAGCACTGGATCCCTATCAGATAATAAATAGAGTAACTGATGAAAGTTAGATTGTTGGGTTCGTGTTCTCTTGTAGATAATTCTTGAAGAGCAAGACATCCGAGAACTTCAATGATTTGCTAGTGTCAAGCTCTGTTTTTTGCTTTATTCTTACATGCTTCTACCACCACCAATTTATTCACTGCAGTACAACCAGACAAGCTCATTACAAACTTATGTGACACACTGTCCTGGTGAATTCTGAAGCAAGCTTCTTGGCTATTCCAGTAACTAAACACAGTGTGGACAAATGCTTTCTCAACTGTCATGGTTTTTAGGAATAGGTTTTTCACTGAAGGGGTGTGACAAACATAGCATAGAATATTACCGTTAAGAAAAAACATAATGTAGCCGTGAATATTCTGAGAAAAAATATTTTTGTAGACGATAAGCTTGCTTGTTATTTGTACCAAAGTATCATTGTGGTAAAGACATTTGTGAGGGCGGCACATGTCGTTCTGTGATTAACATTTGAATTACACTTTCTGTTGCAAAATACACGAAACTGATCTTATAGGGTGATTCTTGAATAGTTTTATCTGAATAATCAGTTTATCAGAATAATCATGTTTAACTTTAATATCCTTACTGTCAGCAAACCTACATTAAGAAATTAACAATTTCTGATTGTCGGAAAATCGACATAGGCAAGATACTTTTATTGTTTGCACATTCCAGTCAAATGAGCGATTTAATATCTAATTAACAAATTTGCCATTCAGTAAACATTATGGGTTTTAACCTATAAAGATAACCGTATATACATACAGTAGTGTAAGGTCTAATAGTCTATGATCGTTGAGTTATCAGACACACAAAGTCACTTGTATTCAGACATCCAGGTGTTGCAAATTTAAAGTCATTTAAGCTTATACATGCAGGCCAAACTGAACATAATCAGATTTCTAGCTTAACTAGACATTTTAGGTTTAAGATAACTTGCTAAACTAGCCTGGCGCTTCATTTCAACATGACTTGTCTGTAGGCTACTTGAACATATGAAAAACTAGATTCGTTTTGATTTTCAGATTATCGATTACATTTCTAGAAATCGATTATTCAGAAGAACATCTGCTGAAGTAAATTTTCGTTGTGTCAAATCTTCGTAAGTGATTAGAAAATAATACTATTGTTATGTCTCTGTTCGTTTGTTAATTTCCCGTAGATATTCTTTCCGAGAAACTTCAGCGATACAAGTCCTTTCTTGATACAACTTTATAATACACAGAATCTCCACAGTCAATACGTTTGCAATCTCGATAACAAAACACGCACTTTATATTACCGTCACTACCGCTCACTTGACTCAATTATCTGTCTCTATCTATATCTATCTGCAAATATATCTCCGCTTTATTTGCCGGGCTTATATACTAAAATAGAAGGCGCCTAAAAAAGACTAGAGTTTCCAGGAACAGTCATGATCCTTCTAGAATCTCCGGCGCGCATGCTTCCAGCGTCGCGTGACTTCCGCTGTCGAAACACTGCCCTTTCTTAGTATTGTTCGTCCCTAACATTACCCACTTACATTACACCAATAGAAAATTAACAATAACTTAATTAAATGTACCGAATTTACAAACACAAAATTAAAATTCAATAAAGTCTTTTAATTTTATGGGACGTAT